TCTTCCAACTTGGCCCTTTTATGAGTTGTGGACTTCAACTCCCAGAATTCCTCAGCCAGGCACGCTGCCTTTCATACCTAAAGTGGAACTAGAACTCCCAGTCTCCTGGTGATTGGGCCAAAGTCACCCAGCTGTCTTTCCAGCCAAAGGCGGGACTAGAACTCCCAGTCTCCTGGTGATTGGGCCAAAGTCACCCAGCTGTCTTTCCAGCCAAAGGCGGGACTAGAACTCCCAGTCTCCTGGTGATTGGGCCAAAGTTACCCAGCCAGCTTCCATACCTAAGCCGGGATTAGAACTCACTCTTAGTTATTGGCCCAAAGTCACCCAGCTGGCCTTTGTGCCTAAGGCAGGACTAGAACTCACCGTCTCCTGGTGATTGGGCCAAAGACACCCTCAGCCGGCTTTCATGCCTAAAGCGGGACTAGAACTCACCATCTCCTACTTTTTAAACTCTGGTGCCTTAACTACTGCACCAAACTGACTCTCCGAGGAGGAGCCATTTTGGGGATGACGAAATAAGATGCCCCAGAACGCCCCCCCCCCAAATCTGCCCGGAAAAGTCTTTTAATAGGTCAAATGTCGTTTCCCCCCCCCCTTTCTTTCTAGTCCAACTGAACCGGCCCTGATGCTCGCTTCGGCTACTAGTCGCCCTACAGATTTTGCCCCCCCCCCAGCACTCACCATATTCGGCTGCCAGCTTTCGACGTTGACACAACGGTCAATGCACCACCAGAAATCGTCCTCGGATTCCCCCTTCCAGGCAAAGACGGGAAACCCTGGAAGAGGAAAAAAAGGGGGGGCTCCTTTTAGTGGGCAGAAGAATCACCATCACCCCAAAAGACCTTCCCTGTCTGTCTGTCTGTCTGTCTATCTATCTTACCATCTTTCTCTCTCCATCTTATCATTTCTTTTTCTTTCTTTCTTTCTTTCTTTCTTTCTTTCTTTCTTTCTTTCTTTCCTTTCTTTCTTTCTGTCTGTCTGTCTGTCTTACCATCTTTCTCCATCTTATCATATCTATCTATCTATCTATCTATTTATCTATCTATCTTACCATCTCTCTCCATCTTATCATTTCTTTCTTTCATTCTTTCTTTCTGTCTGTCTTACCATCTTTCTCCATCTTATCATATCTATCTATCTGTCTGTCTGTCTGTCTGTCTGTCTGTCTATCTATCTAACCATCTTTCTCCATCTTATCATTTCTTTCTTTTTCTTTTTCTTTCATTCTTTCTTTGTCTGTCTGTCTTAACATCTTTCTCCATCTTATATCTATCTATCTATCTATCTATCTATCTATCTATCTATCTATCTATCTATCTATCTATCTATCTATCTATCTATCTATCTATCTATCTTGTCTGTCTGTCTGTCTGTCTATCATCTATCTATCTATCTATCTATCTATCTATCTATCTATCTATCTATCTCTCTCTATCTATCTATCTATCTATCTATCTATCTATCTATCTATCTATCTATCTATCTATCTATCTATCTATCTATCTATCTAACCATCTCTTACTCTCTCTCTCTCTCTCTCTTCTCTCCTCTTTCTCACTCCTGTCTCTCTCCTCTTCTCTCTCCTCCTCTCTCCCTCCCTCCCTCCCTCCCTCTCCCTCTCTCCCTCTCTCACACCCGCACACACACACACACTGTTCTGCTCCTGGCTGAATCCCTTCTATCTCAGCATCCTCAAAGCTTTTTTTAAGTTTCTGGGAGTTGAAGTCCACAAGTCATAAAAGAGCCAAGTTTGAAGACCCCTGATCTAGACTGATATATATATATATATATAAGAAGCTTATTTTAGGGACACACAAACACACCAGGAAAGAAAAATCCTTACCACTCTCAGCCAGGGCGGCTGCCACTTCGTTGAGGGTGGAGTAGATGTTGCAAGCAGCCCATCGGCACTGGGCCCCCAAGGCACCGAGGGTTTCCATGAGCACCTGCAGGCGGGAGAACCGTTGAGTAGGGGGAGAGGAGGGGGGGGGCTAGGGAATTGCCAGGGCTACTCAACCCCCCATTCCTCAATTCGGCCAATCCACCTGCTGGATTTCATGAACTGCTATATATCGTAATAACCTTAATAAGGTTTCTATTTTCCAGCCGAGCAGGGCTGACACCCACACAGGTAGTCCTCGAGTTACAATCATTTGCTTCCGGGTTCGTCCGAAGCTCCAAAAAAGTGGAAAAAGGGATCCACTTTTTCCATCCAGAATGACTGCTTCGAGTTAAGACAGCAGTGGGGGGGGGGGAAGACCTTACGGCCGTTTTTCACCCTTAACGACCGGGTGCGTCATCCCCCGTGGTCACGCGATCAAAAATTCGGACTCGTATTTATGACGGATGCAGGGCCCCGGGATCACGTGATCCCCTTTTGGCGACATTTCTCATTCTAAGGAGAAATTTCCTGACAGTGACAAGAATTAACCAGTGGAACAAGCTGCCTCCAGAAGATGTGGATGCTCCAACACTGGAGGTTTTTAAGAGGAAACTGGACAATCATTTGTCTGAAATGGTATAGGGTTTTTTGCCTGAGCAGAGGGTTTGGCTAGATGTCCTCCAAGGTCCCTTCCAGCTCTATTCTATTCTAGGATCTATTCTCCAAAGCGCCTGAAGGCAGGACAAGAAGCAACGGATGGAAACTGATCAAGGAGAGAAGCAACCTAGAACGAAGGAGAAATTTCCTGAACAGGGAGAGCAATTAACCAGTGGAACTCCTTGCCTCCAGAAGCGGTGAATGCTCCAACACTGGAGGTTTTTAAGAAGAGACTGGACAGCCATTTGTCTGAAATGGTGCAGGGTTTCCTGCCTGAGCAGGGGGTTGGATTAGACCAGAGATCCCCAACCTTTTGGGCACCAGGGACCGGCTCCATGGAGAAAGGTTTTTCCGTAGACCGGAGAGCATGTGGTTTTGAATAATGCCTCCATCCCGAGGATGGAGCTTTGTTTATTTTTGCGGCCCGCTTGCTGGCATGCCGCGTCCTGGTGCCGGTCCACGGACTGAGGGTTGGGGATCCCTGGACTAGATGACCTTCAAGGTCCCTTCCAACTATTATTATTATTATTATTGATCATCGCACAGTCAGCCAGATGTTCAGACTGGATTTGGGACCTGGGATAGGCAATGTGGATGTTTGATGGTATTACAGATATCGTCGCAGGATGGAGGCAGTTCCTAGTAAGGCCGCCTTTTGCAATTGACTAATGGTGAATTTGTCAATGCTGATGGTGGTCAAGTGGTGCTCCAATTGTTTTGGGATTATTATTATTATTATTATTATTATTATTATTATGGATCATCGCACAGTCAGCCAGATGTTCAGACTGGATTTGGCATTTTGTCTACCTATCGAGTCCTTCCCAAGGACCTGGGATAGGCAGATGTGGAAGTTTGATGGTATTACAGATCTCGTCGCAGGATGGAAGCGGTTCCTAGTAAGGCCGCCTTTTGCAATTGACTAATGGCGAATTTGTCAATGCCGATGATGGTGTCCAAGTGGTGCTCCACTTGTTTTGGGATTATTATTATTATTATTATTATTATTATTATTATTATTATTATTATTATTGTTAGTGTTATTATTATTATTACTAAATGGCCAGGCGTAAAGTCGAGGACTACCTGTACTAAAAGCCCAGCCCAACTGTCAATCAAACTTGTTTTTCTTCCAAAAAAAGAAAAGAAAAAAAAAAAAAAAAAGGTGCCAGCTTTTTTTTTGTAAAGCCCAACATAGCATCCTTCCAAGCCGAAGCCAGGATCCCCCCGAGATTTCCGGCTCCAGTCGATCCCAGCCCTTGGGTGACCTCCTCCTGTTTGGACCAAGAAGAAGATCCTCGGGAACCGACAGGGCGTAACTTACGGCAGTCTGAGCCGTGATGTGGGTGCAGCCCACGATCTTGGCTCCGGCCAATGGCTTCTCTCCCTGAGCGCGCTTCCTCAAGGCCATGAGCGCCGGCATTTCTAGGGGAGGGAG